ACCCGCTTAACTACAGACCCGTATCATTAACGTCTATACCATGCAAAGTTATGGAAGCTTTTATAAAAAAGCGATAATGACTCATCTGATGGAAAATAAATGACCATCAAAAAATCAACATAGCTTCGTAAAAATAAAGCCTGGGTAACATATTTGCTAGAAACATTAGACATTTTAACAGCAAGCATGAGTGACAGTTTAGCGGTAGATATGATTTGTATGGATTTTGCCAAAGCCTTTGATAAGGTTCCACATAAAAGACTGTTGAAAAAGTGTAAAGCATATGGTATCAAGAGTGTACTAAATGACTGGATATCGTCTTTTTTAAAAGAAATAAGGCAAAGAGTTATGATGGGTGTAAACATGTCTCCATGGCTTGATATTTTTAGTGGTGTACCTCAAGGTTCTGTGCTTGGTCCTTTGTTATTCTTGATATTCGTAAATGATCTACCATCAATTATTAATTCCAATTGCAAATTATATGCAGATGACAGTAAACTAATCAAAGTTATAAAAAATGTTGAAGATCATGAGTCTTTGCAGAATGACATCAATGAATTTGTAAAATAGACGGATATCTGGTTGACAAAGTTAAACATCGAAAAGTGCAAGGTGATTTTGGAAAAGTGCAAGGTGCATTTAGGTAAAAAGAATCCACAAATGAGTTATTATATGAACCACGACGGCAAAGAGCACAAATTAAAGGTAACATTAAGTGAAAGAGATTTAGTAGTGATTATTTCATTCGACCTTAAATAGCATGATCAAGTGACTTCAGCGACTGCAAAAGCGCAAAGAACTTTGGGTCTAATTAAACGTACGTTTACATACTACGATGTGGAAATGATGAATTTACTATATACGACATTTGTGAGACCGCTTCTTGAGTTCACTATACCTGCATGGCAGCCTTATTAACAACGGAATATTAATGAGTTAGAGAAAGTGCAAAGAAGAGCAACGAAGTTAGTTCCACAACTTAAAAAGATTTCATATGAAAAAAGACTGAAAGCAATGGATATAACAACATTGGAGAAAAGACCAGCTAGAGGAGATCTTATACAACAATACGGATTCAAGCAAAATATAGACCAAATAAACTGGTACAAAAATCCAAAACTGGCATCATCCGTGACTATTTCAGGCCCAGCCTTCTCTGTAAGGGACAATAAATACAGAAAGAGAATACGTACCATCATGTTTACCGAGATATAATTTTTTTACCAATCGAGTTTGTAAAAATTGGAGTTTGTTACCAAATGAAATCATTGAAGCAAGATTGTTGAATGTTTTCAAAGCGCGAATAGATAAACATTTTTGATAACTTGAGGTTTTTTTTTTTAAATTGTGTGGGCTGTCTATAACCCGATGTTTGCATCGCGTTCCACAATTTATTTTATTTTTAAATATTTATATTTACACAAATTTGTAATTGTTACAGCAATAAATTTGAATATTTGTTACTGATGACCCGAATATTCTCGCCAATATTTTCTAAACAATCCTCATTTGGTCACACTTTAAAAAGTAAACTTTTCCAACAGTTGTATACAGAAAATATTTACACACTAAGTTAATAAGTTCAAAATGCTTGTTAAGGTAAGATTAAGATTGCAATTGTAAAGGTTAGATTGCGATTGTTAAGGTGAGATTGCGATTGTTAAGGTAAGATTGCAATTGTTAAGGTTAGATTGCGATTGTTAAGGTATCTGCATTCTTCTTTTTTTTTCTTTTTTTTAAATTTTAAAAAAATAAAAAGTTCAAAAGCTACCAAATATTGCAATCAAAGTCAGGGCTGATGGTACAGGTTTCGAAGTGGAGGGGAACAGGCTAATTTCGCCGCAAAATTTAAGTCAGATCAATAGCTGTTTTATTCTTATGTTAACAAGCAATAACTAATTAAAACTTTGTTCTTGTAGTTTTAAAAAATCCGAATGAGTAGAAAAACTTTTTTTCAATCAAAACCAACACGCTTTTCTTGAAAATTCAGAAACAAATAGGCTAAATGTCCTTAGAGATCTACTTCAGGGTTCATGTACTGAACCACTGCTGTTCCTTAACTTTATAAACAATGGTCTGCTCTACTTAACTATTGTAATCTTTATGCTGATAACACTAAGTTTATTGGAACCATCAAAAATGAGCTTTTATTTAGACAAATGGAAATACATGTTTTTCAACAAATATTGTTGCATGATTCGTAGCAAAACTTTAACCAACGATGGATTAAATAGTTCATAATAAACGTTAGGCGTAATAAACAAAACAGGCTTCAGACAGATTCTCATCGAGTTTGTATCTAAATGTGACCTTGGTGATAATGTTGTTCGCAATTGTTATCTGTGGAACAGCCAATTAGAAAAAAGCTATTTCAAACTCGTAGGGTGTACTCGGTTTGCTTAAGACGCTTATTTAAGCATCAAACAATTGAAACGTTATTTTTCATTTAAACATCGAACAATTAAAACGTTTAGCCTGGGGTTCTTCTCACCTCATTTAGACACCAGGAGTAAATAAATGTGTATCTCGTAAAACATTTTATGTAACGATGTGGCAGCCGATTGAAGTGCATTGCTTTCTAATATCATTAGAGTTAATAAACATGTACCTGAACAATTCTCAACGTTTATACCTTTAAGAAAAAAGCTCGACAAGTATTTTCATTTGCTTACTAAAAAATCTATTTAGCTAATAGTTTTATTTGTCGTTAAAAAAATCTTGTTTACTTTATGTACACACATTTTTATTTTTTATTCACAACTTTTTGGTTAACCTTCTATCTGGGATCACCCATAGCAGGGGTTTGTCACTTTTTCTGCTTCACGGTCCGTGAATCACGGATATTTTCGTTACAGATTAAACCTACTAATAATAACATCAGTTAAACCAATACAATTTAGAAACTATAATTATTAAACATTTAAAATTAAATTTAGTTTCAAATAATGATTAACTACTATAAATGTTAAAACTGATACAAAAACTAGGGAAACAATAAAAATACTACAAAATAAAATAGTAATACTATTCATTTAAAAAAATGATTAGAAAAAAAAGATTCAATTAACTTAGTCTATTTAAATTGTTTGTATCAATTGTATTAAATTGTTAGTATAAATTAACTTAGTCTAATTAAATTGTTTGTATCTAGAAATACACAGTTTTTCTAGATACAAACAATTTTAAAGTCTTCAAGAATCGAGTTCATTGAATTTAAATAAATGAAAATAAAGAAAAATGGTGATGACATTAAAAAATAAAAAAAAAGATTACAAACAAATAAAAACAACTTGATATTGGTGTTATCTATAGTATATATTACATAAAAATTTTTCATAAAACTTGTAAAATGAGTATAGCTCATTTTACAAGTTTTATGGAAAAGTTTTTACTCATATGGAAAAGTTTTTACTTATATAAAAAAGTTTTACTTTAAAAATTTACCAGTAAAAGTTATAATATATAAATTTACCTTCCAGTAGGCACGCGTCGTCTAATGGATGTTTGTAAGACCCTCGATGGACGTCCCCTAGACGACGCATCCCCACTAGGCTGCAGTAGGTAAAGTTGGCGAGAGTTTGCAATCTAAGTGACTTATATGTTTATTGATTCGACGAAGTTAAAAAATATACTCTGAAATGTTTACTTGTCAGCAATTTCAAAAAAAAAATTTCAACCAACCTTACTTTATTATTGCTATATAGTATGTAACTTACAAGGTTTAAACGCATTTCATTTGAGATATGATGGACAATATGAGCGCATGCATAATCAGATTGTAAAATATAGCCCATGTGAAAACAGTTTTCGGTAAATCTACAGTTAAGCGGTTCAAAATAAATTAATTTTTTTGCTTGTTGTGCTCTCGTGTGCTGACTTTTTAATATAAACAAGGAATATTTATTGGCTTCAATAAATACAATCTTATAGCCAGTTCAGTTCAACCTAGTTCAATAATCGACAATCTTATAGCCAGCTACAACAAGAGAGTATTGCTACATCGATTATCTTATAGCCTGCTGCTAAAAGAAAACGCTGCTACTTCCTTGTAGCAGCACTTCCTTATAGCAGCAGACTACAAGGAAATGCTGCTGAGGTTTTTTTTTTTTTTTTTTATTTTTATTTTAATTCACCTCCTCTAGGCCGATAAGGCCACTACAGACGAGGAGGCTACTTATTTGTGGTTATAACCCTCTCTCAACTCTATAACTCCGAAACATGAACCTTGACGAGCAAGGCCGCTGCTCGGAGAAACGAGTTGAGCGCGGTACTACCAGGAACGTGGTGGGGATCGAACTCCGAACCACTCGTTTATGAAGCGAGCGCTCTACCACTACACCACTACCGCATTTGGCATGTTTTGGGATGGGGCAGCAATATTTTTTCTTTTACTATTTCAATTAATATTACTAATGTTTAAAAAGCCTTCACTGATGAGAGCGCAACAAGCTTAAATCAGAAAATGAATAATTTATTCTTACCAGATAATACACATCGTGATTCACACAGAAAATAGTTTTGTGCTGATTAATCTGCATTTTCCAGCTAAAATTTATAAAATTATTATTTTCTTTAAAATTGTAATAAAATTTCATTGTTTTTTTTTGAGTATCAGATTGTCATACTTCTATAGAACTTTTTTCTTTTATATTTTTAAATTAAAAATTTTTAGGTACCCTTAAAATTTTTAAGGGCCTACGGAAAACTCTAAAAAAAATTTCATTCTAAGATTTTTTGAATCCAGTTTTATTTTGTTATATAGAATATATTTAGAGCTATTACGAAACCATTTCTGAAATTTATTGTTTTTTTAATGCATTCTTTTAGAAAGTCGTCAATTGTTCAATGGTCGAAATCCCAAAGCATTTTAATCCAATATCATTTTATTATCTAGAAAGTATTACATGTTATCTAAATATATTCTATATCATATATTTTGAAAAAAAAATTATAAAACGCAATTATTAAGCAGCAAAATTATTTTTTTTTTCAAAATTTAGCTCCTGATCTGAATGTAAACTTTGATGATTTTGACCCTTTTTGTTGGACTGTAACTAACCAAGATAAAAAGAAATATGTTTCAAAGATCCTTGAGGATGAAGAAGTGTTTCATATATGGAGAGCCTTTAATAAAATTGATATTAATGAGTCAGGATTCATTGACATTGAAGAAACTGTTTTTTTATTACAAGTGTTTATGCAAGGTATTGGAACGCCATGGACCAAAGCTCCCTTGGATAATTATACAAATAAAACAGAGTTAAACTTTTGGGAACTTGTAGAGTGTTTGGAATCAAATTATATTATTCAAAACAATTTTTCAAGGTAATGTATTTATCTAATATAAAATTACCTAACAATAACCAAGAGTGTCACAAGGAGTGTAACCTTTTGAAAGAGTGGCACACGCAATGTAACCTTTCAAAAATCTGTCACAATGAGTATAATCTTTTGCAAGTGTGCAACAAGCTCACTTTTTACAAGTGTGCCACAAGCAGTGAACCCTTTTGCAATTGTGCCACAAGCAGTGTAACATTTTGCATATGTGCCACAAAAATGTAACTTTTCAAACTATAGTAATCTTTTAGGAGTATAAAGTCAGAGATGCAAAAAAAATTTTATCAACTTTTTAAAATTTTTATTAATATTGTAGGGTAGAGCAGGGCTAGTTGAGCAATTTTTATTAAATCTAACAGATCTCATGAACGGCGCGCCGGATTCACAAAATTTTTCAATATTCGAAAGATAGTTATAACCTGCTATAACCTAGAGTTTAACCTACTAAAAGTTTGTTAAGAGAAAAGTATTTTTTATTTTTCAGAAAGATATTGCCTAAAGTTTGCGGAGCTGCTCAACCTACCCCAGTGAGATAAGGTGAGCAATTGTGTAGGATAAGTTGAGCAATCAATAAATGAACAAATATGCATGGTACGAAAATTTTTGTAAACCATCAATACAACTTTCACTAACAGTAAGCGTGTGTATAATTTATAAACTTTTTAATTTATTCACTCTACCACGTAAGTAAGAGAAGAGAAAAAATTTCATAGTAAAAAAGCATCATAAAATATGAAAATATTATTTTATACAACTATCTTGAACTTCGAAGCCCGATTTAAAAATGATATAAATAATGTACCGTCAAATTATTTCTTATCAAAGTTATTTTTTTGTGTTCGAAAGTTCAGTTTTATTATTTTTATAGCTGCTTAACTTAACACTACTAGGCTAATTAGGCACATTAATTAGGTTTTAAAGAGAACATTTAGACTTAGGCAAAACAGGTAATTTTAATCGCAAGTCCGATAAGTTGTTCAAATATCAACACTTAAGTAATGTCAGGTATAAAAATATTTAAGCATTTAAGAGAAAAGTACTAAAGCCTTTTTTTTACCTGTTTGGTCTAGAATAGAAAAAGTGCCCGTGTATCTTGCGTAACAGCTTTCCAACAATCTTTGGTAGCGCATTGTGTGCGCGCATGTGCAACATTCTAATTCCTAACTTTCATCCATTAAATGTTTTGTCATGAGAGGCATAGTTTTTGAAAAATTTTAACTGTACAACTTGCCCCTATGTTTAACTAGCCCCGCTTTATCCTAATATTTAAATTTCATTGAAAAAATCAAAAGTGTTTTGAGATATTTTAGAAACAATGGAATCCCTTCCGCCTATGCATTTTCCACCACCACACTTTTTATGATTGATTTTATTGATATTTATTGATTGATAATTTTATCTTGATTAAAAAACGTATAAAAACGTAGGTCTAATAATTTGAGGTAAACATTAATTAAGACGTTAAAGCTTAGTTTCCAATAGTTGTAAAAATGTTGTACAATAATTGAGCGATTTTGTTGTACAACAGTTATTGCTGAAATAAATATGATTCTATTCTATCGTTTGTTTTACAACATTTTGTTGTACAACCGAATTTAAGTTGCGCATTATGCCATTATAAAACGTTGTACAACAGTTGTATAATATTCCTACAACTATTAGAAACCTAGCTTTAACGTCTTTACTTGATTGTTTTTCTCTAATTTTTAGACCTAAGTTTTTATAGGTTTCTTAAGAAAAAAAAAAAAAAAAAAAACAGATTCTCTTATATTTGCTAACTTGATTAAACAAGGTTGCGGTTGATTTTGTTATTAAAAGAAACAAATAAATATTCTTGTTTTTATTTATTAATTTGAAAAGTTTTCAAATTTTAAATAACACTTCTCAAATTTTTTTGTTTTTTTGTTTTACGCGTTTTGTATAAGTATTTTTGAATGATCTTTTTTCAAGTACTTTTTGTATTATTATTTATCAAAGGTCGGATCACAAACGTGTTTGTGTAAATGTAGATCAAACAGGCTTTTGGAAACTTTTTTTCCTAAACTAGTATCGGCGTCAGTGTTATTGATTCATTTGTTGTGCTACTTGACCTCTGGGAAATTAAAGTCACCGGTGATTATTAAACCATTAAATGTTATGTTAATCACAGCTGTTTTCGCATGAGAGATGTTTTCACTATTTCATTGAAGACCGAAGCGTTGTTGGTAGGTGGGCAATAAATGCAGCCAATTAAGAGAAATTCTTGTGGAATTTTAAGTTCAAGCCAAAGCTGTTCCGAGATTTTGCATTGAAAAATGTTGTGTAATTGAGAATGGTCAACTTTGCTTGCGTTAATACTGCTCTTAACATAAATCACTACGCCTCCTCCATGACCACAACTATTTTTTCTATATATGTTGTAATTTAAAAGAACAGGTGCTGAGGATTCATTAAAACAAGTTTCGGTGATTTTAATAAAGTGTAGAGATGTAGCATTAGTGTAGAAGCAGTTTAGTAACGATTTAAAAACACTGTTTGTAAAATGAATAAGTGGGAGTAGTTGATTGTTAGCCGTTGTTGAGTTTGTACTTTTCTTTTTTTAATTTGTTAAAAAGCTCTTGATCTGAGGGAGTTTGATCGTGCCGTATGAATACATTTTTGTATGCCTCAGGGGTAGCCAGTTTTTTTGGCGATTGGTAGAAGACTGTTGCTAGTTTAATTGATTGCAAATTTGAAAATAAAAGACGGGGAGCTGGTTGACTGAGTATTGCGGCAGTGGAAAGAGTAAATGTGCTAGCGTTTGGCAATTTTTTGTTGATTTTGTTATAAATGGTAGCCAGAATGCATCCTACAACTTTGAAAGAAGCTAAGTAGCGTATATAATGTAAAATATTCTTTATCAATTGATCTACGGCGGAAGCATTGGTACCGGCTACGTTAGGAAACCCGTTAATAATGACTCTCTAAGCTTTTAATTATTGAAGTCTGGTGTTTGTTTTCACGATATTTATGACAGCATTGTTAGTGGCTGACCCAGTTTTGGCTAATTGCGAGGTAAATGACTTTAAGATTGTTTGAGATTGTGGAGTGGATGAATGATTTGCCGACGGTTGGCAGTTAACAAGTTGAATTTGAGGGTTGGTTTTGGTTTTTTAAGAGTTGCTACTTTTTCAAGTAATATTTTGACAGTTAAGGCGTTGCATCTTTTGTATAGATAAGCAGTCTTGCCTCTTTCAGGACTTGGCCAATATTCAAGCAGGTCTGTTGGGTTTGTAGCAGATGAAATGTACAATACTTCATATAATTTGTTGATAAACATGTTAAAATGTTGGGATTTTAGTTCAATGTGTTTGCGAGACTCACTAATGTGAGTATTGAGGTTTATAGTTTGCGAGACTCACTAATGTGAGTATTGAGCTTTATAGTTTGCGAGACTCACTAATGTGAGTATTGAGGTATAGTTAGATGTTGGTTAAATAGTAGTTGGTTAATAAATTATTTAACTAAATTTAATAAATATTTTTTTTTTTTTATTCTGTAGTTTTTGATTTTTGATTATAGTTTTACCTTATACAACAACTAACTTTTTGATTTTCGTCATAAGCAAAAATAAAATACTTTGTTGATCTAAAAACTTTTTTTGAAAATAAACAAACAGTATTAAAAAGTCAGATGCAACGCAACGGATAAACGGAATAAACAGAGAAAGAAATTTTTTTTTTTAATATTCTACTGTTACTGTACAATACAAAAAAACGTTCTACTGTTGACTTTTCCTTGCAGATCCGGGGCAGGTGAGACTCTTAAACCTTGGTGGAGACAACTTACTTAGGTTAGCAAAACTCTAGTATTAACCCCCATTTTCATGGTGGGTAAAAATATTAGGAGCTTGTAAACCTTGGATGGTTCTCTTCATAGCAAACCTTGAATGGATCTTCATAGCAAACCTTGGATGGATCTTCATAGCAAACCTTGGATGGATCTTCATAGCAAACCTTGGATGGATCTTCATAGCAAACTTTGGATGGATCTTCATAGCAAACCTTGGATGGACCTTCATAGCAAACCTTGGATGGATCTTCATAGCAAACGTCTACCTTGGATGGATCTTCATTACGTCAAATGTTTAACGTCAAATGTTTAACTTCAAATTTGAATTTTAACGTCAAAGCTTGGCTTGAAAATGTTCTGAAAAGATTTGAACTTGTATTTGTAAGATTTGAACTGGTATTCAATGAACTAGTACCATATTCTCACTTACAAAAATATCATAAATGTAAGATGACGTTTATTTCCAGATCTTTCCAACTTGCAATATAATTTTTTACAATACCGCTTTCATTATGACTGGCACAAACGTTTAGACCAAATCCCAAAAGTGTTAAACAAAACCTTGTTCCAAGAAGCACGACAGTTTGGTAATCCCAGAATTTCTCATTAACTTTTGAGGTGAAGATAAAACAATTATCAAAACAATTTTTCCTTTTTAAAAGTTTATCAGCAACCTCATCCATATTTGGCGTTAATGCTTCGATAAGTGTTCAGCTCCGTGAAGTCTTCTTTGGTTTTATTTTTCCTTTTTGTTGCTGCACCACTGCCATAAGTGAAACTAAACACTTTACTAGACCGTGTTTTTTCTTTTTGTACTTTTGTAGCCGTTATTTCTCTATCCACTATTCAATTTCTTCTTCGTAATTAGGTTTTTTACTAATAAGAATAATATTTTCAGTAATCTTACTCACCAGAGTTTTAATATAAGAATTTCCAATCTATATCAGCAGTGGCATCAGCATTTTTTGGCCTTTGAGACATCTAACTTCCAGACTTGGAATAAACTCCAAACATTTTTATGTTTATACTATGTCAAATAAAGATGCTTTGCAAAAATATTGAGATGATTGGAACCTGGGAACAAAAAAGCCCCAAAATTAATACTCTACCAGGAGACATTATTCATACACATCAAAATACAATTTGCGACGTTAGGATTATCTTGTTCTATCTCTACATTTTTTAGTTTTGAGATAAAACGATTTAAAAAATAAAAACTTTAGGAGACGGCGTATAAATTTTTTTTTATAACTTATGTTTTTTCCGCAACTTTTTTATTTATAACTTAGATTTCAATTTAGTAGAAAGACATTATTTTGAGGAACACAACACTATCATTAACTCGATTTTTTCAGAAAGTGGACATAAAACAAGATAATTCTAACGTTGCGAATTGTTAGCCAAACTTAAACAAATTCAGGTTTGGCAAACACCTTTGCTCTGCTGTTGTTGTCCATTCACAGTTACCATGCAAAGTACTTTTTTTTTATGATTATTTTACATTTTTTATAAATAAAAAAGCAAGTATACCCTAAATCAATTAACACATGGAACATAGTTTATGTTAAAGCGTATAGTAAGTTACGCTATTAATAAAAATTTAGGGAATGAGCTGGCGCAAACTCACTTGAATCATTTTTTAGACACATTCTAGATATTTTTGTCATATCTTGTGTCAAAAGTATGAACAAATGTTCATACTTTTGACACAAGAAACACAACACATCACTTGTCTCAGGTCTTTTACGTTGAATGGTTTTAAGATCATTCAAACAAGATCCTGATCTCAACATCCGTCAAACTTCTTCAGGAAGTCCAGAAAAAATGACACTCATAAATTGTGATACATTGCTTTGCTCTACTAGCCCATTAAATACTGTTAATAAATTGCACTGTTCCACCAAATAAACATTACCTGCCCCTCCATCTCTTAGTCTTTTCATTACAAACTGCTTGTTGACTGCAGATGCTTCAACAGCAAATGTTTTTTGCAGCACCTATATTTTCTCAAAATCTTCTTTGTCAGTTTTTATATACTGTCGGTACACTGCAAATATGCTAACAACAACTAGCTTGCAAACCAGCTTAATCTTTTCCAGCCTCTCTACAATATAAACTCAATATATAAGATATATATTTACAAAAATACAGACAAACTTAAATGAATAATATGGTTGATGTAACAATTTAAAAAAGAACAATGTGCTCCCAAAACCAATGACTCTATTGCAATGAACGTTTATCTAAGGTGACGATTAATTTTATAAACTAAGTCTCATTAAACAACATAGCTAATTACCGAGGACAAAAATAGAAAAAAAAAGCAATTGAAAAATTATGGACATTATTTGCGAAAATAATGCCCATAATTTTCAAACCTACAAAAGAAGAATATCCTGTACTGAGAAACTTTGTGGAACTTTTATTGAGCATTCCTGCTCAATAAAATTCCTTTGTCAAATTTTTTTTTCTGTAATGGGTTATAATGTGGTGTGATAAAAAAAGCTGTTTTATAGGGATTGGGGTTGGTCATTTTATTTACTTTTTACAATAAATGCTTAGGATATATGAGTTTTAAATGTGTTGGCTTTTATATAAAACTAATGCAAAATAAAGATGAAACATTTTCATTTTTAGGTTTTCAAATTTAAACCCAAAAACCGAGGTTTTGGGTAAAAAATGCGATTTGCTGCAACTTTTAACCGGCTATTCCGATTGACTCAAAAACATCTTCAATCGAATCCTCGATCCCAAATAGACTTTACTAGACACCTAGAAAATCATTTTATCTTAAAAACTTATACTTTTTAAATTTTACAAAGATCATTATTTTTGCAATGCTTTGCTGTAATATCTTGCATAACAATATAATATGACTGTAATGTAGAAATAAAATTTAAAAGATTCCTCAACGACCACCCCAAATACTACCTATTAGAATTATAAAAAATCATTTGTTTGTATTTTTTATGAATTTACTTGATTACACTAATTATACAAAAAAGTTTGAACTTATTACTTAAAAAAGCAAATTCTGTTTAGATGCTAAAAGAGGAAGATGTTCTCAGTGAGTGGTTGTTGCCATTATAAATCCATTCCACCTTTCTTGTCCGTAAACTATGCCAGAAGCTCTTTTAACTTCTTTCACAATTCTTTCTATAGATTGTCTTGGAAAATTGAAAATCTGGAATTCCCTGTATTCTTTTCGGTCTAACAGCAGTATTTCCTAGAGAACTTAAATTTTTATTGAAAGTGCTATCTTCACTGCAAACATTCTCTCTTCTTTATCTTTGCAACAAAGTAGTGCTTGAGCATTTTTCTGTGAGCATTCCAGGCAGAGCAACAAAAATAGGGTAAAACTGTTTTTTGAATATTTAAGTTCATTTTTCAGACAAGTTCCAGCTGTTTAATTATATGGTATGGTCTGTTAGTCCATTTTTATTTTATCTAAACATTTTTTATTAATAAAATTATCCATACATACAAATAAAAGTTATTACAGTAAAAATAAAAATTCTTACCTTAATTCAAACCATAATACAGACACATACATACACCAAAAGAGAACTGTACAAGGTATTTTAAATTTTCAGCCTCGTTTCTATTTAGTCGTGTGAGCACCAGATTCTGCAAAGCCAGATTCTGCAAAAATCAAAACCAGATTCTGCAAAAATTTTCAGCCTCGTTTCTATTTAATCGTGTGAGCACCAGATTCTGCAAAGCCTACTTGCCAAGTTTAACCAGCATTTATGATTGTGAGAACCATTTTGAATTAAATTTATCTTATTAAATTACCTGCTATTGTTTTATCTTTAATAGCTTTTCTTATCCGGTATAGATTTGATCACTAGATAAGTTTTTTAAAGTTTTTTAAACTTCATTGATTTTTTAAACTTCATTGATATCTAATAAATCAATTTCAATATCTATAGATTGAATAACATTGTGTAAATTTTAGTAACATAGTGGAAATTTTGAGATCATTGGCAATAGGGACAAGTTTACCAATATTGCCAGAAATTGTTTGAAATTTTTTTTCCATCAATAACTGAAATTAAGTACCTTAAAAGTAATTCATTTGTGTGTAAGGCACAAACTGTCCAAATAAGTTTGGTTTGAGTTTTTTTTTCTAAAAAATAAATAATAACTCCTTTCCAGCCTAAATAATACTTGTTTAAATATATGCATGTCAATTAACATCAAATATTTACCTGTATTTATTATCAAACATTTACCTGTATTAAGATTGGTTGAATCACAGCCAACAGCAACTAAAGTGGATTTTATACTATGTTCTATAATCCATTTATTTATATGTTCTGCTATATACTCTGCTGGGGTAATGAACTCAGATCTGTTTTCTTTGTCATTTGAAAAAAAGGGCAGATATTAACCACCTGGCTCTGCACAAACTGAATAATGGTCTTCTTGTACAAGTTTGTGGTGAAATTTTCCATCTTCTCCAATCAAAGAAAATTTTGTCAACTTACTCCCATCAAACATTATACATTGAACTCCATTTCTTTTTACCATATCATCATTTTCAGATTTTAATTGCTTCATCACCTTCAATTTAGAGCGTTCAATTTTCTTGTGATCTCTTATTGTTTCACTGACAGTCACATTCGTTTTAAAAAAGCCTGCCTCTTTAGCTGCTTTCAGTGTTAGTGTTGAAATTGCAGCAGTTGCTCTATTTGATACACCATATCTTGATGATGCTAATGCAACTTCTTTCATACTCAATAGCTTTTTTGGAACTTGTCTGCTTATGTACTCAGAATTTTCTTTGGAAATAACATCTTTATCATCAGTATTCTCGATATTTTTATTTGGCACCGTTTTTTTTCTTGAGAATAAAAAAATTGGTATTCTATTTGTGAATTCTTTTTTCCAGTTTCCTTTCTTTTATAATTTTTTTTTTGTCTGTTAGCGTCTTTATTACAGCAAAGTATATCAAAAATAACAATCTTAGTAAACTTTAAAAATTATAAGTAAAACGACTGTCTATGTGTCTAATAAATGGTATTTGGGATCAAGGATTTGATTGAAGATGCTTTTGAGTCAATCGGAATAACCGATTAAAAGTTTTGGCAAATCACGTTTTTTATTGCATTTTTTACCCAAAACCTCGGTTTGCAAGGTTCAAATTTAAAAACCTAAAAAATATAGTTTTTTATTTTTTTTTTTACATTAGTTTTACATAAGGGCCAACACATTTAAAATTCATCTGCTTACCAATCTAAAAAAAAGTTTATCAAATTTAATTAAATAGTCTGTTTTTTTTTATTCTGATTCACTATATATTTCTTCTCTATATTTTTTTTATGGTTGCTGTTTTCTCTTGTATTCTATAATTCTCCAGTTTAGTACCATAAGATAGGGTAATTGGCTTTTGGACACATTTACACAATAAATAATTTGTTCAGAAATCAAAAATACTTTTAAAGTCAGACAATGAATGAATAAGATTATTTCTTTTCATAATATCATGTGCAATCATAATGAGTTAAGGAAATTATTTGATTACCAGTCAATGTAATGAATTGAATGCAAAAGAAGAATCAAAGTTTTTAATGTTAGTATGCAGAAAGAAAAGTTCAAAAGAAATCTGATATTTTTTGTTAAAAAACTATTTTTTTAAATTATTTTCTTTTAGTATATACAAAGATGGTCTGGAGTCCATTCTTAAATATTATATTTTGGAAATAATAAAAAGTGGATTCTTAGTGAAGAAGGGTCATCGGATTAAATCAATGAAAGAACGATGGTTTGTTCTCACGCCTGACAATTTGTTTTATTATGATGGTAAAACTAAAGGAGCAAAAAAAAAAGGTTCAATCTGCATTAATAAGGTAAACTTTTTTAAGAAATAATTTACACCTTATAGTTTATCATTTATAAAGTTGCTAAAATCTTCAGGGTGTTGTTTATTGTTTATCTGTATCTAAATAATTCCTCCAACTTTTTTTTTAATTTCCACATTCAATATTTTTTTATACCATGTAATATATATAAATATATATATATATATATATATATATATATATATATATATATATATATATATATATATATATATATATATATATATATATATATATATATATATATATATATGTATATATATATATATATATATATATCTATACATATGTATATATATATATATTCATATATATATATATATATATATATATATATATATATATATATATATATATATATATATATATATATTCATATATTTAGCGTGTGAATAAAGTTGTTTTCACTTTTGTTGATATAGGCAGTAATAATTGAACCTTTATTTGATATGAAAAGTAACAGATTTCGATTTCTGTTAAATTGTGGCATCAAAGGTGTTAATTATGAAATAGAAGCTCTTGATCTTAAATCAATGAATGAATGGATATCAGCCATCCAACTATGTATTGGTAATAACAAGGTTTATTAGATATTTGTAACATATTAGTTCATATAATACTGTCAGATGGGGTAATATGGCAACATTTTAACTGTTTTTTTTTTTATAATTTGTTAAATACAATAGCTATAAACTTGTAGATTTTATTCAAGAAATACTCCCACAAGATGCACATTACATGTGAAAATCAGCTATGTGGCTTTTTAACTTATACTAAATTCTATTTATGAAAATCATTTAAAAAAATCAAAACCTTACAAAAAAAAAACCTAATATAAACAACAAAACATTGTAATACATTTTTTTGAAATTAAAGGATGTATGTTTCAAATCCTAAAACTAGATTTGTAAAACAAAGGCCAAAATACAAATATAAAAAAAAAATAAAAAAAATTCTTTACAAACTTTAAAGGCATTTCAATCTTTATAATGGTATCTAGATGCCGTGTGGCCTTTCTGTAAATCATTTTCTTAGAGCCAGGATTTTTGCTGAGATTAGTCTTATCATAGTTCATTACATTAGAAGGGAGAATACTCTTGGTTAGGTTGTGCAGATTGTTGAAAATAAACAATAAGTTTTTTCTCTTTACTTACAGTTGTACGGCTCTTTAAAATTTTATGACCAATCTCTGTAAAGATTAGATTCTGGTGCCTTTTCAAAAAATTCTAATTCTGGTGCCTTTTCAAAAAATTCTAATTCTTTTCAAGAAAGTCTAATCTTGCCAAGAGAAGTTCACTTTTGTTTGTGAAGGATACATTTGATGAATTATTTTAACGAAGCCAGATCCCAAAATTCTTCATCCAAGTGAGCCAAATTCCAAAATTCTTGATGCTAGCTTTGTCGTTTTCATCCTAGCTTTGTCATCTTCAACCAGATCCCAAAATTCTTCATTCTAGCTTTATCATTGCTCAATTTTAAGTAATGACAAATTCTTCATCAGCAGAAATAGCAGTTCAACAAGGTGTCTGCCTATTTTTGGTCTTACCACAGAAATAATACATTAAAAGTTAAAAATGTGCATTTTAAAGTTCAATTCAAAGATTTAAACTTTTAATGAAGTGCCAGTCAGAGGTATATATATATATATATATATATATATATATATATATATATATATATATATATATATATATATATATATATACATTCGTATTAATATATATATATATATATATATATATATATATATATATATATATATATATATATATATATATATATATATATATATATATATATATATATATATACGTATTAATATCTAAATGTCGCCATGAAAACAAGTTTTTGCTGAAAAACACTCACGAAGATATATGCAAGCACTAATACGTATATATATATATATAAATATATATATATATATATATATATATATATATATATATATATATATATATATATATATATATATATATATATATATATATGTATATATATATATATATATATATATATATATATATATATATATATATATATATATATATATATATATATATTATATATATATATATATATATATATATATATATATATATATATATATATATATATATATATATATATATATATATATATATTTATATATATAAACAATTTTTAAAATGTTTTCTACAAAATAGAGTGCTCTGTTCTTAAAAGAACAGAGCAATTATAAATTAGTAGAAAATCACTTAACAAATTTTTTTTTCAATTCAACACTTTTTTAAAAGATATTTATTTTTGCATGCTGACACTTTAGGAGATTTAGAAAGGCAGCTGTATGTATTATTCCTAAAAAAAAGATAGGTCGGCTTTTGCATGGGCATTGCCAAATGCCGGTAATGCCCTCGATAAGTCATCTACCCTCATCTTCTAGGATTAACTCTTACTTCTGATCTTTCTTGAAAACCATATATCAAATTCGCTACAAAATTAGCATCTGCTAAAATTGCATCTCTTTATCGAGCTCGACACTTTCTTACTCAGGATTCTATTCTTTATATATCTCAATATATATATCTTATAAATCTCAAATCCGTCCTTGTATGGAATACTGTTGCCATATCTGGGGCAGATCTTCTAATGATGCCCTTTCTCTTTTAGACAAGGTGCAAATACATACATACATGCATACATACATACATACATACATACATACATACATACATACATACATACATACATACATACATACATACATACATACATACATACATACATACATACATACATGGATCATTCTCCAAAAAAGTAGCAATATACTGTTAATACTGTTTATACTTTAAACCAGTGCAAATAACAAATATACAGCTAATATAATATAAAACTGATGAAAACCAATCCAAAATAGCATTTTCAGTGAATAAATAATGTTCCACAGACTGTAACAAGTCATGTCCGTGGAATATCACCATCCAGACTTTTTGCTAATCCCAAGAAGTTTAAACCTTGTTGCTAGTACTTTACTTTTATTTTATAATTTATATATTTATTTAATATATTTATTTAATAATCAAGAATACATTAAATTTAGAGTTGACATAATATTTCCCTCAAAACATTTTTTTAAAGTAACTTTTATGTAATTGAAGCTCTTGTCATCACCTTAAATGTCACATCTGTGGATAGAGTTATTAATTCCAAAAAAAAAGCTTTAGGAGACAGTAGTAGTTCTCTATGTTGCTGTTCTAGCTAAACTATCAGACATTTTTATTAATGAGTAATAGTGGGGGAATTTTTGGTGTAGTTGTTTAGTGCTGATAAGTGTTAAAGTTTTTAAAGTTGAATTTGTTAGTGTTAGTGTGTCACATCTGTGGCAAACATACTCAGGGTAAATAATTTTACTTTTTTATAAGCAATACTTTTGTTTAATATAAATTACCTAGGTATATTTACTCCAAGGAGAACAGAGTCCTAGCCTCAAAACACAGCACTCCTTTTATGGTTTTTCCTTCAATTTGTCACGTCTGTGGAGTACAGAAAGCAACAGACGTGACGCACTTGGAACGGATGTGACAACAAATGACAATTTTACCTGTACCTGAATTTTTTAATGCCTATTTTTAGCATTTTTAACATTTAAAAACTTTGCTCATATAGCTAATTAATTATTATTGAAAAGATAAATGTTTCTATCCAGATAGTTATAATTTTTTCTTTACTTACAGTTAACAAAAATAGAAAAGATAGAAAAAACTAGAGAATTGAAAAAGTTAAGTATGCGGAAGGCGAGGGAGAAAATGAAAGCTGAAAACCCGGACAAATATGAAGAAAAAAAATGGAAAGATAGAGAAAGAAAAAAAGCAACACGAAAGAAAATTCATCAACTTTCAGAATAGGATAAAAGATCAGTAAGAAAAGGTTGGAAATAAAGGACCAAGAGAAGTCGGGAAATGAAAAAGAAGAGACAGCAACTTATTGAAAGTTTGTCTACACCACCTGAAAGCCCAACTGTAAATATTCCTATCGAAAATGAAATAGGCATAAATGTACTTCCTGGTCCCAGTCAGGAATCTAGTTCCAGAAAAAGAAGCGGGCTAAAAGTTCGTAGAAAATATAGAGATAGGCTGAAGAAAAAAATCCAAAAATTAGAAGAAAAAAGCAATTTGTTAAAGCAAAGAGGTGATAAATACAAACAAAAATTCTACAGACTGCGATATGCAAAAGATAATACTCCTCAAAAGGTGGTTAAATAAAAGACTAGTGCTACGAAATGCTCGAAGGAAGTAAAGAAAAGCTTGCTTTTTAAGTTGTATAGTCTTAAGATATTGGCATATATATATATCCTACTGACTTGCTAAAAAGTATAACATGTGATGGCGAGCTGAAAGAATCATGCCTGGAAAGGAAATGTGGAGTATGCATTTTTAAACTAAGAAATAATTTGTTAAGAATTTGAGAATGATATGAATGAAAAAGTAACATTTCCACAATTTTCTAAAAAAAGTGAACTTGTGATAGAAGATAAAATAAAGTTTTAAAACTGTAAAAGAAAAGTTAACAAAAAGTTAAATTTTATAACATTAACTAAAAAAGAACTGTTTTTGCATTTTATTAACAATTTATTAGAAACGTTTATGAAGCATGTATGCAATATAAAACACCAGTACAAAGCTACATCAGAAATAAAAAATAACTTAGGACCTAGGGACATTTTCATTCATTGTGACTTTTCAGAAAATTACAATGGCAAATACTTAAAAGAAATCCAATCACTCCACTTTGGTGGATCAAGAAACCAAGTGTCAATCCATACAGTTATGGCATACTATTGTAGTATTTCTGAAAACAAAATAAAGGCAAAATCTTACTGTACAATTTCAGTTAACAGGCGTCATGACTTTGTTAGAATCTGTGCGCATTTAAAGCCTGTTATTAATGACTTAAAAGAAAAGCTGTCTGTCATTAAAACAGTTCATTTCCATAGTAATAGTACTTCTCAACAGTACCGAAACAAGTCCATGTTCTATTTGTTTGGTACTTTTTTTCAAAAAGAGTTTAGAGCTAAAAGTATAAGGTGGCATTTCACAGAAAAGGAACACAGAAAAGGTGCCCCTGATGGAATAGGAGGTTGTATCAAAAGAACCACAGATAGATTGATTGAACAAGTGAAAGATATTCCTGATGTTAATTATTTGGTTCAAGAAATAAAAGAAAAGTGTTCAAGTATAGCTATCTATACTATTAACAACACAGATTTCAATCTCTATGAGAAAATTTTACTTTAAAAACCTAACAACTTTCAAGGGGACTTTACAAATTCATAAGATGGTTTGGAGTTCTACTAAAAAAAAAACATTGTATATGAGATGGCTGATGTGCACTGGATGTTACAATGATAGAAAATGCAAACACTATAGTATTGGAGAAGTACTAATCCCTGTGGATTTTTTGACGGATCTTCATCCTCGTATCCTTTTAATGTACAGCTTTTAGAAACTTAAGTTTGCTTATATTGAATATTGTGTTATATTAAACATAATATTGAATATTATATTTGCTTATATTGAATATTGCAAACTTTTGCATTTCTTAAAAGTTCTCTAGTTATTTAGTCAGTAAAAATGTTTGATTAATATTTAGTTTTTCAGTTACTCTAGTATTTTAATTCAAGATTAAAATAAGCTGTGCATGAAATCTTTATTTTAAAATAGTTGTTTAACTTGTTTCTGTTTCATTAATAATTTTTTGTGCCTCTGTTTTAAGAAATTCCTTAACATGGTTCAGCAGGTCAACAATTCTTGAAAATGAAAAAAATGCCAACTGAAAGAACAACATTCAAATGTTTGGCTCAAGAATCCCAAGGACCGGGTAAATATGAAAAGAAATTGACAAGACTAAGTAACCACAGTGTTTACAGCGATAAGGAGGACAGTTTGTCTATTAAAATCAATGATTTTGTAATTGCCAAGTTTCAAACATCAAAAAAAAATGTGAAACACTATGTTGGGCTAATTCAAGCTTTAGGTGCAGATGAGTTTGTCATAAAGTTTTTGAGAAGATCTGGCCAGGAATTTTTTACGCTTCCAGAAAAAGATGACATCTCTGTCATTGATAAGAGTGATGTAGTGTTGAGATTGTGCCAGCCGAACCTCAATAACAGGGTACAATATCGTTTTCCACAAGACTTACCATTCAAAAACATTGGCTAAGTTACTAACTAGTAATACATAAAATTTTGTAAAAACTTGTACCATGTACTATTTTATGTCAACTATTAAATTCTGTTGATAAAAGATGGTTATTTTTTTGTTAATTACCTGACAGACACTTATAGCTGTTACAGCAAAAAGCGATACTATTCATAATGCCACGTCTGTGGTAAATTAGTCACGTCTGTGGATTACACTGAAAGTTTTTAATTTTTTTTTTTGTAAACTGACTTTTAACTTTCCAAACATCCTGGGCAACATTCCAAAATTCGTGCTGGTTTCTTTGTTAAGGTTGATCTAAAGATTTTTGATCTGCAGCCATAACTTTTAATCCATCTTCAACTTCAATTTCCTTCCCACCAATCAGTTTTTCACTTTATGACTAGTATGTTTTGGGTAGTTGTAAAATAAATATATTGGTCCATAATTCCATCAATCTTGAAGATAAAATATGATAATGATGAAAAATGAAGATGAAAATGAAAGATAAATTGTATTTCACACTCTGAAAGGAAAAACATTCCCAAATATTTATTTTTGTTCCACCATGTTTAGCAGCTTTTATAGTGATTTGAGGTTTGTGGTTTAGTTGGCCTTCTAGTGTATACCCTGTGTTCCCTTGAACCAAATATGACAATTTTGATTTCATTAGATCACAAATGTTTGCTATTTTAAAACAGACCAATCTTCATGTGCTTTTGAATAATGCTTTCTTGCTACAACATGTCTTATTTTTAAAAGGCGGAACTTTCCTTGGACATTTTGGTTAACAGAATGTCTAATACAGTCATTTTAAACAAAGACAAAAAAATATTATGAGGCATTTTAAATTCTATATCATTTGACAGATATACAAAATCTACATAGTAGAAAGTTAGCACAAATTCATTTGGATCAAAATATTATCAATATCATCAGATACTGTGATTATAATATGACTTAGGTATTTAAAACTTTAAACAGAGTTCAGGTGACTAACATCCAACATGTAACATGGAAAAGTGTAACTAACTTGTTTAAAGCAGTTCTAAGTCACAAATATTAGAGTACGTTACTTATTTAGATTTAATTTAATATTTAGTCTAGCAACATCACTAAAGCCTATCCGAAAAACACTATTGTGCATTCCATGGTTGACCAAATAATACTAAATTATCTGCATAGGGTAAGATTTTATTAGGTATACCAGCAGTATGAAAAAAAAAATTTGATTTAAAAATAGTGTTGCATATATCACACATATAAATACAAAACAAATATTGTGATAAAACATTGCCCTGTGTGATATAGTTGGTTACTTTACAATAAAGTTTTTCTAATGAACATTCATCTGTTGTTTGTTAATGTACTAAAAATCTAACATCTTAACCAAGTTAGATTGTAAATTTAATAATATGAGTTTTTGAAACATTTTTTTTTTAATTGACTCGGTCAAGTATTTTGCTTAAATCAAGCAAAAACACAGCTTCTGTGCGACCTTTTGTAAGTTTGAAGCCAAATCAATAATCATCATTAATTGAATTGTGACTGAAAGTATGCTGCAAATCAGACTCTAGAAGCTTGCTCATACAAATTTGATTACTCAATACTTAATTCAATTGATGTTAATTACTTAATTCATAAATATTACCAGCTCTGCCATTTGCAGAAATTACCAGCAGGCAAATTTACTTGTTAAATTTGATTATGATTGCCAATTGTTCTTTTCCTAATTTTTTTTACTTTCAGTATATTCATGACACACTTTCACACGTAAATATAAGTCAGAATCTTTAATTAGAATGAGTGCCATCATGGATTTCAATTGACTTAAGTCTCCATCATACTTTCGCTGATTACAGAAAAGTTGTGGCTCTTATTTCTTATAATAGGCTAGAATCTAGTCCAGATTTTATTCAGAATGACTTTAAATGGAAAACCTCATCATCATTCCCCACCCCCACCCCCCACCTTCCTTCATCCACTCCATATTTCTTGAAAATTTGGGTTTAAACAAGTTATTTGGTAGTGGTGTAGTGGTAAAACACTCGCTTCATAAGCGAGAGGTTCCGAGTTCGATCCAGACCACGTCCCAGGTAGTACCGCGCTTAACTTGTTTCTCCGCGCAGCGGCCTTGTTTGTCAAGGTTCGTGTTTCGGAGTTATAGAGTTGAGAGAGGGTTATAACCACTATTTAGTAGTCTCCTCGTCTGTAGTGGCCTTCTCGGCCTTGAGGAGGTGAATAAAAAAAAATTTGAAAAAAAAAAAAAAAGTTCTACGTTAAGTTTCAGAATTCTATTTTTCATCTTGCTGTTATTAATTATTGTTCTAAAAGAAATGTTAATTTTATTAAGGACAACTATATATGAGCAATTCTATTTTTAACTTATGTTACGCACGCAACAACTTTATCAAATATTTGCTAATTTAAACTGTAAATTAAACTTAAAGTTTTGAGTCCGGCCAAAAGAGGGCGAATTTATTACTGAAAATGTCACTTAACTTACATTACATAGAAAACTAGGTAAAAAAATTGCTTTAACTTTTAGGTCAGATTTCTGCGAATCAGTTAAGTGATTTGTATTCGAAACTTTCACAAGATGTTAAGAATTCTATGCCAATTTAAAAAATATATTCAGTTTTATCAGAGGTGACCGGGTAAGGAAAATGAACTGTTTTTTTTTTATACTATATATCTAACTTACGTTACCTTGCGATTATTATTGCTAATTTTTTACTTCTATTATTTTGAGTTAAAGTTTCATAACATAAGAATTGCAAAAGTAGTGAACTCATTCATTAAAAATAGTTAACAAAGAAACTTTAAAAAACTAGTGGCACTCTTCCTAAGTGATTTTTCTTAACATTTATAAAATCAAATCAAAAACAGTTTTTCCACAAGACCAAGAGCACTAAAAAGTTATTTTAGTATTACAACTTTTCAACACTTATTTAAGTTGTTATAATAAGAAAATCTTTAGTTTGTCGAAGTTTTTACTTACACTCCTTACGTTTATGCGTATTGCCTTATTTTCATTTGATTGAATTTTTAAAATGCTGCAAAATATTTACATTTAACTCTTTTAAAATATTTTTGACAAAAAACTGCTAACTGGAGGGAGAGGGATTCAGGTATATGTGATCGTTTGTGACAGGAGGGAAGGGGTAAAAAATGCTAGTTGTCTTTGTGTCTAACATTAAAAAAGTGCTGTCATTAATTGTTTTACAATCAATTATTTTGATCGCTTTTTTTTAGTAAAAATTTCATTTATAAAATCTTAATAATAGTGATGATGGCAGTTGTAGGCGATAGAGAAGACATATTGACATTTTTTTCAAGGTCCTTGAAAGATGTCAGTAACATTTGTAGAAAGCCTTTTGTGAAAAATTGCCAGAAAAAAAGAGGAGACAAGGTTTGATGTCTGCATTGCTGTAAAAGGACGTTTGGATGTATAACCCAAACTGCCATAAATCTTAATACGAAAATAAAAATAAAAAGATAATCTATTTTTTTTATTTTAATTTTTTTTTGTTTTATTTACTAAATCCTTAGATAGTATTGTTCATATGTATGTAACTGAAATCAAAAATTTTTTGCTTATTTTTGTTATGTCCAAAGTAAAGCTTTTTTTTTTCAAATGTGAAAGAAACATTTCCAAATCTCATTAGACTTATTTAAAAATAATATTTACATGTCAGGTTTGATTTAAATTTTGAGTTAATTTTGTAGACCACTCCAAAGATAAAACACCTTTAATGAGAAACCTTCTTGAAAGAGCTCAAGAGAGAAAAGAGAGAAGGAGGAAAAAAGCTGAAG